TAGTTGGGGAGGGCACAAAGTAAAGGCTTAAGTATCTTGGCCCATGCCATGGTTTTGCTTTTGCTATCTTTTCAACCTTTTTGGTTCAAGGTGTGTAAAGTGATGGAAATGTGTCTCCTCACATAATATTTCTACTTTTGCTATATATATACTTGTGCCAATTTTAAGCTAAGGTGGGGTTGGATTTGGAAGCATGTAATATGAATCCAATCAAAGAGGGATGGAAGCCATGATGGGTACCCCCAACTATCTATCCTTGTGAAAGGGGGAGCATCATGTACTATTTCATCATCATCTAGGATTTGATTTTGTTTTCTTTCCATATTTTCTTGTCACATTAAAACCCCACCAAACACCATTTCTTGCATACTACAAAAGATTGAAGGACCTCTAACTCATCAAGTTGCCGTTGAGGTTACTCCAACATGGCATTTTGGTGTTAGCATAGGTCACAATCTTGATAAACAAATATAAAAATTATGTCAAATAATTGAACGAATCAACTTTTCAATTTAAATTTACCAAACGTTCCTTTCAAGATGGTAATTTGTTCGTCCTTGGAGATAAGAATCCAAAATAGTAAAGAAAGAGAGTTATGCATAGCCCATTCTCCTTAAAATCATAACTTAATACACAATGAGTTTAACTTTATGCTACAATTTCTATGAGTTTCTTTACACGAATGGATATGTTTTATGGTGGAGTGAGCTTAAAGACAACCCTACTAATTGCAAATTTTAATTGAAAGCCTCATAATGTGGGATATGATGGGCTGAAAAGAAAAACTATAAAGAATAAAAGAGGAAAAAGAGCTGTTCCACCTATTGATGCTAAAGTGCAAACATCAGTCTCCTCCACTAGCACAAAATCGATGTGCCAAGACTCACTCATCCTTAATGAGGACAATGGACATTGTGGTGGCAACTCCAATTCCCTCAACTTCATGATTGTGTTATGCATATGTTTAGGTGTAAATCGAAACATAGCTCGATTTCGAGATGTCTTTCTCTCGTCTCAATACTATTTAAATCATCTAGATGAGGTATGGACGACTGCGCGCGTTGAAGACAAATTTTATAAGAATAAATTTGACCATTCTCTAAAAACTATATAACATCAAGTAAAATATCTAGTTCAAGTTTTATTGCCAGCAGTTTCTAAAAACCTGTGCACATAACTAAAATATGATTGAATTTACTAGACTTTTTTTCAGTGGTACCAAATGTAGACAAGAAAGTAAGCATGGTATCTAACACATTAAACAGAAAATGGATTTTCTATGTGGACAGATGAGATTTGGAAGAATTAGATTGCTTGTTTCCTATATAATATATTGGGGGAAATAGTGACTCTGAAAATGCAATAATATTATCAAAGAATAGTGGGATAGATAGAGGTCCTAAGGTATACAAAACTTTCATAATTTTTCCCATCCCTTTTTCTTACAAAAGTGGCACATTCTAACAGTGGAGAAGGCTAAGACTAGAGAATTGAAAGTGACACAACCAAGAATTAACAATTACTTTAACCAATTATATTGTATTACACATTTTTGGCATGGATTAATTGCATTATGGTGTGTTGTCAACTACTCAATGTGTAAATGTAGGAATTTGTTTGGGCCCACCATTGATGGACAATAGGATCTTTCAATGAAATCATACACAAGTTGATGAATATGACTATGAAATGGTCCTCAACTTATTTCACATCAATATGCATTCACTTCTTAGGCTTGGTTTTAGGCTGGATTTCACTTTGGACTTTATTTTTTTTAACTTAGCCGACAAATATTGGCTATCTAGTCAATGGATTGTAGGGAAGGTGTAAAGAATTCATTTGCGCTCGAGACTTTTACATTGTTCGTATAAAATTTTACTTTGTAGATTTTAAAGGTAAGTTTTACCCAAATGCTTATAACTATGGTATCAAAATCTATAATGAATCACTTTGAGAAGAAGATTGGTTGTCGAGAGTCCTCCATATGAAAAACGTATATTATCATGGAGGTCAGTTGTAAAGAAGGATTTGAGTCAGCTCGTAAAACATGTCTTGTTAGTATATAAACATATATGGAATAAACTTTTTGTAGTTAATTTTAAAATTCGTTTCTACTCCATAACGCTAGTAAAAAATGTCACTTCATGGAGTTCTTCAATAGTCCCTATTTAGTTAGGATAAAAATTAGGTTTTTAGTGTATTTCGATGAAAGTTGATGAAATGTGTAATTGATAAAATTGTGGATCCATAAAATATGTGATTGAAAATGAATTTGAAAAAAAAAATTAAGAAATGGGCAAAAGAGGAACTCACTTCTCTCGTACAAATTTATTGTTTTTAAGAACATTTTTTTAGGCTTTCTTGAGTCCACATAGGCAACGTGCAAGACGAAAGTGCTGCAATTATCATGGTTTCAGTAACCACTAAAAGATACTAGAATGGAGAAAGCAATATACAATTTAATAAAGACCCCTTAACTATTACGGTGGTTTATAAGGGGTCCTATGTCATTCATCACTATATTGATGATGGACATATTGAAATTACAAGAAATCATATTTAAGTGAAAAGACATAATCCGAATTTTTGATAAATTGAGAAGATGAAGATGAAGATGAATTTTGAAATCTTGAATCTCTTCAATGGTTTCTTGATGAATCTTCACTTGTGCATTCTCTTTTTTGCCCAAAATTTAGGTTTGAATCTTCATTTAATTGAATTCTTACAAATATTTTTCAATTCTCTCACAAAAATTATGAATTCTCCTCATTTAATCATAATAATTGATGAATATTGGAGTATAATAAGTATATGAGAGGTCTCCCATATGTGTTCTGTTGTTAGGTTGTTGAAATATATAGTGTATCATATTAGCACTTTAAAAGTATGTTTGAACCTTTACTTGGATAAATTCTTGCAAATCTTCTTCAATTCTCTCACAATTACTATGAATTCTCCTCCTTTGATGATAATACTTGATGAATAATGGAGTATAATATGTACACGAGAGTTCTCCATATGTATTCTGCTGTTATATATTTGTAGGAGTAAAAAATTGGTTGAAAATTACGTCCAAATTGACTTCCAAAAGAGTTTTAATCGAATAAGGAAAACCATCTTCGTGAACAAATTTTTTGTCTCTGCATAGTATTCAGTATTTTAACCATACCTTTTTTTTTTCCGATATCCGATTGATGCAATTCAAAGTGCATTTGAAAGATAACTCAAAGAGCTACAAGTTTTATAGAAATAGAGTTTTTCTGATTCAGACGTTTACTATGTCAAAAATGGGTCTCAATCCTCGATTAAAAATCTGGAATATAACTTGTGCGATTGGAAATTGATTTTAATCATATTCCATTCCTCTTTAAATTCTAATTCCATCCAATTGTCTCTTAAAAATCTTCAAAGTATCATCTTGTGGTCCGAATCAACTATTGAATTTTTAACCATTGAGTTCTACCTATATAACATAAAATACAACAATTTAAGATATATTTTGTCAGAAAAACTATCAAATCTCGTTATTTTAGACCCAAAATAAGTGTATAAAATACACTTATCAATGATGCCACATAGAGACCAAAATTTCCAAGTTGCCATCAAAAGCTGAAATTGTCAGAATGAAAAGGGTGATATGCAAATCAGTTTTGCTACACTTACGGTTTTAATTAACAAATTTATTTACATTTCACGACGTAACATAGTTTTATCACTGATTTCAACAATACTTAAAATAATCAATAACCCTGCTTTTGGCACATCAAACAATGTCAAACCGACAAAATACAATTGATTTTAATGAGTGGACCATGTGGAGAGACCAATCATGACCTGTTCTGTATATGCTGGGAAAAAAATATTAATTGAGTTTAACCATTTCTGAAACTTATAAGTTTCATAATGGATGGAGACTGCAATGACTACTCCAGCATCCCACCATGTTTGAAATTTTGTGGGGACGGCTATCAATTGTGCTGTCGCTATTGACTATCCTCTGCTCGAAGGAAGCAGATGGTTCTGAAGGATGGAGGTAGAATTTAGGGTGACTGGGTGAGTGAGTGACAAATTTATAATCGGAATCCCAATTATTGTAAGAAAGGTGAAATTAAATGATTCATTTATCATTTAATGGCACATTAACATCTGTTAAGGGATATAATTCCACATCGAATAAAGATGTTGACACAGACCAATTAATAAAGATCTTGGGCCACTCCTCTTAATAAGGTTGACCTTTTAAGATGGACCCCCAAATCTTAATATGGTATCAGAGCCCATTATGCTCCAACGAGCGATTCGATCCCGATAAGACTCCAAAAAGTGAGCACGTGGATTTCAAGAACTTTAAAAGTATGTTTGAACCTTTACTTGGATAAATTCTTGCAAATCTTCTTCAATTCTCTCACAATTACTATGAATTCTCCTCCTTTGATGATAATACTTGATGAATAATGGAGTATAATATGTACACGAGAGTTCTCCATATGTATTCTGCTGTTATATATTTGTAGGAGTAAACAATTCGTTGAAAATTACGTCCAAATTGACTTCCAAAAGAGTTTTAATCGAATAAGGAAAACCATCTTCGTGAACGAATTTTTTGTCTCTGCATAGTATTCAGTATTTTAACCATACCTTTTTTTTCCGATATCCGATTGATGCAATTCAAAGTGCATTTGAAAGATAACTCAAAGAGCTACAAGTTTTAGATAAGAGTTTTCCTAATTCAGATGTTTACTATGTCAAAAATGGGTCTCAATCCTCGACTAAAAATCTGGAATATAACTTGTGCGATTGGAAATTGATTTTAATCATATTTCATTCCTCTTTGAGTTCTAATTCCATCCAATTGTCTCCTAAAAATCTTCAAAGTATCATCTTGTGGTCCGAATCAACTATTGAATTTTTAACCAATGAGTTCTACCTATATAACATAAAATACAACAATTTAAGATATATTTTGTCAGAAAAACTATCAAATCTCATTATTTTAGACCCAAATTAAGTGTATAAAATACACTTATCAATGATGCCACATAGAGACCAAAATTTCCAAGTTGCCATCAAAAGCTGAAATTGTCAGAATGAAAAGGGTGATATGCAAATCAGTTTTGCTACCCTTACGGTTTTAATTAACAAATTTATTTACATTTCACGACGTAACACAGTTTTATCATTGATTTCAACAATACTTAAAATAATCAATAACCCAGCTTTTGGCACATCAAACAATGTCAAACCGACAAAATACAATTGATTTTACTGAGTGGACCATGTGGAGAGACCAATCATGACCTGTTCTGTATATGCTGGGAAAAAAATATTTATTGAGTTTAACCATTTCTGAAACTTGTAAGTTTCATAATGGATGGAGACTGCAATGACTACTCCAGCATCCCAACATGTTTGAAATTTTGTGGGGACGGCTATCAATTGTGCTGTCGCTATTGACTATCCTCTGCTCGAAGGAAGCAGATGGTTCTGAAGGATGGAGGTAGAATTTAGGGTGAGTGAGTGACAAATTTATAATCGGAATCCCAATTATTGTAAGAAAGGTGAAATTAAATGATTCATTTATCATTTAATGACACATTAACGTCAACTAAACTGGTAATGCTATTTAGCCCTCACTATGGTTGTAACCCTAGTTTAGATGACTCTAAATAATAGGTTAAATAAAATGTGAAATTAAATGACTTATTTAATTTCACCTATCATTTAATTACACATTAACGCCACCTAGACTGGGGTTATAATCCCAATGGAGCTAAATAGCATTACTCTGTTTGTAATGATGTCCTCGAAATCTATTAGACAAGGATTATGTCCCGTTAGTAGCAACAAACTACGAGTACACATCATTTCACATGAGTTCATAGCAACAAACTCTAAGCAATGTACTTGGACAAGTCATTTTACCTGCGTAAAGAAAATGTACTGCAACACAATGGAGGACGGAATACCAGACGTGGAAATACAAATTATTATATAGCACACGCCAAATATACAGAAATCTTTTAAGGTTAAACAGGAAATGATCAAGCAAGAAAACAATACATTAACAAAAACAAAATTTGCTACCAAGAGTCTCAATAAGGGAAATGGTTCAGGATACAAAAATGAAGAATAACTACAATCTAAAAGCAAACACATAAAAGAATCTGGGAGCGGACTCAGAGTTTGATACAAAACCGAAAATATAAAAACCAGAAAAGAGAAAAATTTTACAGCGCCCAGAGGTAATAAATCCACAAAGGTTTAAGCCATTAGACTCACAGCCTGTCCTCATACTCGGAGAGTGGTGTCATCTGCTCCTTCAAACCCTTCCTCTTTCGGATATCAGTCATGAGCTGTGCAGCCTGCGACCCTGCTTCCAATGGATCAGATGACATCATGTCCCAATGATCAAACACACACTGGGGAAAGGCTTGTCCAGAGGTTGCAGCTCTCAAGGTACTTGAGAAACCAAATGATTCGATAACAGGCAAGTATGCCTTGATATTATAGAGTGGAGCACCTGGCCTCTGCAATTCCTCAAACACGTGTCCACGTTTCTGGTTCAGGACACTGTAGATACCACCAAGAGCCTGTTCTGGTGCTTGAATCTCCACCATGTACACGGGTTCCAAAAGATGGGGCTTGGCAGTCAGATGGGAGGCATAAATAACCCTCCTAGCAGTTGGAATGACCTGACCGCCTCCTCTGTGAATAGCATCAGCATGAAGAACCACGTCACAAACTTCAAAGCAGATGCCCCTCATGTTTTCTTCAGCCAATGGGCTTTCCTTCGAAGCCCACTGAAAACCGGCAACAATGGAATCTTTAATTTCATTCAGGTACTGGACACCCTTACACATATCAACTACCATGTTTGGACCAGTTGTCTCAGGACCAAAGCACCAAATTTTCTTTGCGAGCTCCTTATCCCAACCGAACTCCTCAGACAAGATCTTAGAACGAACCTTAGGATCATCTCTTGGACCAATACGTCCATCGTCAATAGCCTCAGCAAGTTCCTCTTCTAAGGGCCTGGCTTCCATGTACAGACGGTTGTGCTTATTAGGTGATTTGCTCATAACAGTGCGAGAGGACCTCTCAAGAACAGTCTCACGAAAGGACACAACTGGATCTGATTTATTATTTCAGCACCACCCATGAAATCATCTTGCAAGTCCTTCAAGCATATCTCCAGGTGGAGTTCTCCAGCACCAGCAATAATATGCTCACCAGACTCCTCAATGGAACAGACAACCATAGGATCTGACTTAGCCAAACGCTTCAAACCTTCAACAAGCTTCGGAAGATCGGATGCAACCTTGCACTGGACAGCAACACGTACAACAGGTGACACGGAGAACTTCATTGCTCTAATTGGATGCGCATCAACTTCCTTTTCATTGGTCAGGGTTGCATTTTTGGTGATGTATTGATCTAGACCAACCAAAGCAACTGTGTTCCCACACGGTACATCCTCAACTGTTTCCTGCCTCTTACCCATCCAAATAACAGTTCTCTGAACACTCTTGACGTACAAATTCTCTCTCTCCCAGGACAAATTAGGACCCATGATTCTGACCTTCAAACCAATTGAGACCCTGCCGGCGAATACCCGACCAAACGCAAAGAACCTACCCTTATCCGATGCTGGAATCATCTTTGACACATAAAGCATGAGAGGGCCATCAGGATCACAGTTCCTAATAGCAGTAGCATAAGCATCATCCATAGGTCCCTCGTACAAGTTTTCCACACGGTACCTTTGTGCCTTGGAAGGTGGAAGATCACATTTCTAAGAGGGCAGTACTAGCTGGAAGCCAGGTCTGCATTACACGCTTCATTAATGCCTTCCCCATTAAATCCTTCTCATCAGACTTCATAACAACGCCAAGCTTCTGTAACATGGGCCAGAGCTTATCTTTCTGATCATTCATGCAAGTGTTAATAATCTGCTTGATGGGTTCGTAACAGAATTGAACAAATCCACGTTTACAAGTAGGTGAACCGGTATTCTTGGTGGTCCACTTCTTTGTGGCTGGATCAAAGAAATTCTCTCCCCAGAGCCTTTCCATCATCTTCGCCTCATCAACACCAAACTTGGAGGCATACATCTTGGCAAAGTTTGTTAGGGTGAAAGCCCAGCCATGTAAACCAGCAGAAAAGGCAACGGTACCTTTCTCTGGGTAAACCTGAACATCGCCCAAGAGAGGATCTTCGTAAGTAGCCATAATGACATTTGCATTTTCAATGACCCTCTGGAATGTTTGGTAAGCCTCCTCGCCATCAACCTGGAGCTCAAGGAAACACCTGTCCATCTTGTTAACAGTCAAGACAGGTCTAATCCTTTCTCCAAGGGCCTGTCGGAGGACTGTTTCTGTTTGGACACACATGCCTTCAACACAGTCAACCACAACAAGAGCCCCATCAGTGATACGAAGAGCAGCTGTCACTTCAGATGAGAAGTCGACGTGTCCAGGAGAATCAATAAGATTGATGAGGTACTCGTTAACATTCCGCTCTCCTTTGTAGGCTCTTCAAAGACTCATCAGACATCTCATAATACAGAGAGATACCAGTGGACTTGATAGTGATACCACGCTCAGCCTCATCAGCACGGGTATCTGTCATTCTAACATCACCAGCAACTTCTTGAGCAATAATACCAGCAGCAGCGACAAGAGAATCGGTAAGTGTGGACTTCCCTGTCACAATGAAATGAAAACCACAGTAACTACATGCATCAAGGAAGATATGGTGAACGGACTTGCCTCATACTGTAAACAAAGAGAACACCACCCAGTAATGCAGCACATAAAAACAATATTGAGCTGAAAATAAATGTAAGTTTCCACACCGTGATCAACATGGGCAATAACCAACATATTGCGAATGTTGTGCTTGTAGTCCATAATCCTGCGGAGCTCATCAGCTGTGAACTTCACCTGCACACATCCAACGAAAATTTATTTATTAGCAACCACACTTACCTGGTGCAAAGGCAAAAGGCTATCTAAATATATAAATCAACTTTCCATGCTTACCATTATGACTGGTTTCCAAATTTCACAACTCAAAAAAAGGAAAGAAAAAATTTGTGGGAGGTCTTCTTCAAAATACCTGCAATCCAGAGAGAAAACATCAAAATATATTTTTTTTTTTAAAAAAAAAGGTCAACAAGAAAAGCACCGGCAAAGAAATGACAGGATTATGCGTAGCGATGCACCATACCTGAAAAGCAACTTGAGCTCTATCACTAACAGGATTCAAATTAAAATCCATGTCCGTAAAACCAAAACAAAATTCACTACAGACTTTACAGGTAAGAAATGCTCTCTTTATAATGACATAATCAGAAAGAGATGGACTAAATCCACACCTACTCGAGAGGAGAGTAGTGAGTACTATCACTTCCTCAATCTTCCACAAAATTTCACCTAAACATCCTATGTTTATCATGAGTGTGTTTGGTAGAGATTAAAATTGAAAAACTAGCTGTTATTGTTGACTTTTATTAGACGAGTGACACTCAATAACGGTTATATTTTTAATTTTAATTCCTCCCAAACAAGCTCCATATCCTGCATCGTACCCTAATTAAATGCTACAGGAACATTGAAAAAAAAAAGTCACGGCATCATTCGAATATGATAAGCCAATATTTTCCTTGATCTTTCAAATACATCAAAAATAGAATAGTTAAAGACAAAAAAGTAATTTTAGCATATTCGACATTCCCAAAGCATAATTCTATTGAATAAGAACATAAAAAATGTGTATAACGTAATTCAATTCCATAAATCCAAAATGACCGCTTTGGCTTCTGATTGAGCTCTAAAAAACAAATCTTTTACTTAACGTTAACATCTCAGTTCAAGTATGAGCAATATAACACAATTAAAATTAGATAAGGATCAAAATATCGAATTATAATCCTTCATATTTTTCTATTATATATATCCATAAGCAAATCTAATATTTTAAACGCACGAATTATCAGCTACTCCGGAACGTAGAAACATAACAAATCATCCAATATATAAATTAAAAGTTTCTCAAGCACGAGAAATCAATAAAGAATTACGTGCAATCACATACTAATAAAATAATAAATTAGAGCTAGAAAAGAGAGAATCTTACAGATAGAGAACGGAGGAGGAGGAGGCGGCTCTCAGTGACCCTATGGATCACTGAGACGGAGATATAAAGTCAAGGCGTAGTGGAGTGTCCTCAAAACCCCACAAGGTTAGGGTATAAATATAAAATCTATTCAATGGGTTCTCGTCTGCTGTTTGTTTTTCTACAGTTTCCTCGATTACGCGCATATTTATGCTGCCACGTGCCAGATAAAATGGAATCGGTTAATTACTCGAATGGTTAGAACTGTCAAACTTTGGTAAGTATTACTATCTCATAACTGAATTTAAAAATGTATCTCAATTATTACAGCTCAAGTTGTTAGCCCACTTCCACGCGTAAATTTCCTACCCATATAACGTTATTGCGTCAACATGTTAAAAACAATTTTCTAAAGAATCGACGATGAGACTTAGCTTCCAGAATTAGGGATTTTGTGGCTGCATTTTTAAATTGATGAAATATTTAATTCTTTTCATCCCATTTTTTAAACAGGGTATGATACTCTAGAATCAAAACAAGAACTTGGGCTGCAAGCATATGACCTCGAAATTCAAACAATTTTAATTTCAAAAGTCAATTTAGCACAAAGAATTGTCCGCCACTCGACCGTCGTTATGATAATGTCAAATGTATCACCCAGAAATACAGAAAATAATTAGTCAAATTTTTTATGATGTACGATTCGTCAAAAATTTTACAATATACGACTCTAGCAAATATTTGCCAGAAAGACTGGTGCATTCGGTAACATGCATTTCAGTCGAGAAAGATGCATTCTGTGGCCCCTCGTACAACGCTTTCAGTCTAAAGAGTAAAGACAACCCATTTAGGCTGATCTGTCAAGACGGAAATACATGCTATTTTACCTTCTTAAGTAGGCTAGATGTTCGGTATTCAGCATCATCCTTGATGAAACTCCACCAGACGTACGTCAGAGGGATAGTAGTAGCATGCCAAAGAGCATGGGCGTCGACCAATCCTTCATAAGGAGGGAAGTCATAGATCTCCAGCAGCATCGCTAGGCCGCCTCCTACAACCACAATCCACAGCTTCCAGCGAGAAGGATGACGGGTAACACCGGCCCATATTGCCCAAACGAGAAGTTGAGTGACACCCATCAAAACACACACTTTCATATTCCACCCTGTCAAATATTCCCCAGTCATAATAGTCTTAGTCCTATAGTAAAACATGACTTTTAATAGCGAAGATAATGACATCAGCTCGAAACTAAAAGTGATACCAGGGAGACAACTATCATACCGTAGTCCATCTTATAGTTGTTAAGGTACAATATGTGGGTAGTCGTAAAAGCAACCAGTGGGGCAGCAACCATGACCCTCGCAGCTTCGTCCCTCACACTGAAACTTCTCACTATGGCCAAAAGAAGTGAGTATCCGAGTAAGGCAACTGCTGATGAGTAATCTAGCTTTTCGGTCAATTCCACATCTCTGCCATTTGGAGATTCATAAAACCGTTATGGTAAAAAATAATTTATAACATTTGACTCGACAGGCAGCCAGGTTGTTTGTGAAGGGCCAATGGACTAGGAGCGTCTTTGACTAAGCTTAAAAGTTCACTCACAAGTTAACAAGTTATAAAATATATTAAGCCTCGTTTGAATACTGAATTTATATACAAAGTCAAATATTAATTTTAACTACATATTCATAACTATTTATTGTCCACATATTTCACAGGGACCACTACTATTGCTCTTTATAAACCATTTATAAATTTGTCAAATGGAAGTTATTTTATTAATTATATGTGAATAAAAAAGATTTTTATTGGTTAAAGGACATGAGTAAATCAATTATTTTACTTTAAAAAAGTAGTAACATACCCAAACATGCTTGTAAACATAAACTTTCATACTAATGTTCAAGGTTAGCAAACATACCTGATTGGCCAATGTAATAGAAGCTAGAAATTGACATGATACGAGACCTTATTGTCCCCTCTGAGCTAATATAAGGACAGAAGAGAGTACAAGCATGAACAATAAAATGAGAAGTATAAAGCTCACCGACTGTGGAAGACTGCACTCCAGAACCATGAATTCATGGACAAGAACCCGTAGATATGCCACAGGCCAGTATAATCATAGTATGGTCTCTTATCCGGTTTTAGTGACAGCTTGTAGTAAAGAAGGATGAAAAAAGAAAGCCAGCCATGGAAATGCACTGCAAGGTTGAGAGCTGAAAGAGCTACAGAAACCGGCTCCTGAATGATTTGAGGACATTAATTTAGATGCATGCTCAAAATGTGTAAACCTAGACACTAAAGTGGGAATTCTGCTAAAGCACAACTGGCTACGAATGCCACAAGCTTGTAGAGTTACAGACCTGGAAACCATACAGACGTCGGAAAGGCCACTTGCCATGATATTTAAAAGGCCCGTGACCAAGTTCTGCTCTTTCTTTTTCTCTATCAAGCATACAATGGTAGCGGCAATCACTTTGGCAATCCCATTGTTTCCACCGCAAGTAAAGAGGCTCTTGCATGTACCAAGGGCCATCAAGGGAAGAACCGTCTGAGGAGAATTTGCAGTGCGGAAAGCATCTCTCCCCAACGCATCCAGTCTTTTCACATTGTCCTACACAATTCCTGAAATTGATAGAATACCTAAGTGTAAGTTGACCTGTAGACAAAATTTCAGAAGAATACCTTTTGGGTTTCAGACTGACAGGAACAGAAATAAGTTCCTCCCATATTTAGCTTTTTCACTTTTATGTTCAGTAAGAAATGAGACTAATTTTACACTCATGTGTCATACTGTCATGCCATGCATGTCAATCCAAAGATTGGCAGGAAAATAGAATTGTCGGACCAATATAAATTACATACAAATTTGGATGTGAATACATTGGCTATGCAGGAGAAAAGGCAGAAATATAAAAATAAATATTGAAATTCAATAGTTTCTATTGATCAAGAATCTTGGGATATGGTGAAGAATAATTTTGAGAAGCAAAACAACACTCTCCGCACAACAGGAGGAGGAAGAAAGGGGGAAATCGATCCTGCTGAAGACAACCATGAAAAAGTAAAAAAAGAAAAAATTTTGAGCAGCTTATTTCATTAATAAATTAAGACAGTTGACTGTCAAAGTTGTCCCCCAACACACACATAAGCAAAATAAAAATCACATAATCAAATTCAAGTAATAGCAAAGAAATTGAACAAGTAGATGAACTTCATCGGAAATGGTTACCGATATAACAGGTCGGCATCCCCAGCACTAGCATCAAGTGCTCTAACAAGGCAGGAGTACACTAGAAAGAAAATGATCCAATAAAGATCTGCCATCTGATCAGTGAATAGTACACATCAAGTTAGATGACCATAAGTTGAATAGATAGGATCAAAAATCTAGGACACTATAATTTTTGGGAGTGCTATTTTTTGATTGCATTTTTAAGGTTAGCATTCAGTATTGACAAAGATAATACAATGATTGAATGAAGTATAGAACACTGGAAAATAAGACAACTATTAGCCTAAGGAAAAATTAACAAGAATATAAACCACGTGCATTCTAGCTTATGCAATACATTTGAAGTTTCACCATGAGAGGAAATTTAACAACGGTGCAATACAAATAGTGCACAAGATTTTCTATATTATCCGAGTAATTTGTCAAAAGACAGGAGCATGTGATTCTTGAATCAATGCAAATAAAAAGGGATAGATTCTCGTATATCAACATTAAAAAATGTTTACTGGATTGAATCCTACCCCACCACCAAATCAATACACATAGAGAGAGAGAATCTTTATAGATGGTAGTGACATCACAATTATAATTAATCACTTGCCAGTTATGATAACCCTAAGCCACGAAACTCTCCAGATGCTAGTGTTCCGTTTCGAAACGTTTCGCAAATTGAATCTCTTCGGAAACTCCGGAAAAGTTTCAAAAACTAAAAAAAAAAAAATCCTTTTTTTTAGTTAAATTCGGAAATTCTATGGAAAATTTTAAAAAACTTTTAGGAAACTCTACGAGAAAAAATTTCAAAATTTTTACCCAAAAAAACTTAATCACAGGCTCTAACCAAAAGTTAACTTAATTTTGGGCTTTGACTTAAAATTAACTTAAATTATGAGCTTTATTTATTATATAAAAGCATTATAATGCTAGATTTTAACATAAACCTAAATTTTCTAATTATTATGCCGCCTTTATCAAGTTTTCAGGCACAAAGGCAAATGCTTGAATCAGCCATATGCTTTCTTTGATGTGGTTTATGACATACTTATCGATTGTTGAACCAAGAATAACACACCACTTCATTGTTTGGCACATTCCTTGAATCCGAGGTCATACTGAACTTTTAAAGTAATTAATTCTATGTTAGTTGATTTTTTTAAATTAATATATTAGTTACTTCTTTTAAAGTACTAGCTATACGTGGTTTGAGGAATGCTTCACATAAAGATTCTGAAATCTCTAATGAAAGGGCAAAGTGTTTCAAAAGCATATTTTCTAATCAAGAAGATTTCATAAAAGTTACAACAGAATTTGCTAATTCTCCACTCAAAGCAGGAGACTTCGCAGATTTTGATTCCCTTATGGATAGGTAAATTTCAAAACTAATTTTTTAAAAACATATTTATATTTGTTCGTTTATATTTAATATTTAACTATTTAACCAACACTTTAAAAATGCTTCACTTAAGTTTTATGTGATTTTAATTGAATAGGGCCATTATGGATGCAAAAAGTTGGTGGGCTACTCATGGT